AAAAATGTACCTGGATTACCAGGGGAGGAAATCTGTGAATGTTGAATGATGCCCGCCTTGGGCACGGGAGTAAGGAGTGGTGGCAGACTTGCCATGTGTTTGACATCACAAAGCATAATCTTATTTCCTAAATTCATAGGCATCCCAACTACAGTAGTAACTAGATTTTGAATAACTAACATTCTAGTATCTATCTAGATGAGAGAGACAGAGACACACACAGAGAGGAGAGAGAGAGAGAGAGAGAGAGAGAGAGAGAGCGAGAGAGAGAGATCCTTCAGAACAGTCATCTTCCCAGTTTATTTCAACTATCATACAATTAAATTTTTGGAGTTCTTTGAAAAAACAAATCAAATAGGCAAACTTGGTTTTACCAGAGTTGGATAAATTATTTTTACCACCAGTCTTGACTACAAATGATTTACAATTCATGAAAAAGTAAATTTGCCTCAAAGGATACAAATGTGCTACCCACAAGGGCAGTAAAATTCCTCCACCAATAATTTTAGTGTCTATATTTTATAAGTACCTGTTCAGTGCTAAGGATAAAAAAATGAGAGTCCCATTCCCTGCTCTGAGGACTTCGTATTCGCAAGGAAGAAAGACATCGGGAGTTACAACCCAGCACAACCAGCTCTATCCTTGAGGGGCACCCAGCTCTGTTAAGGCTCTATGGGGATAGAGAGGAACAAGAAAAGACTTCCTGGCAGTTTGCTTTCCCACTATAGCCCAAAGGACTTGGAAGAGTAGCAGGACAGGAAAGGTGACACACAAGGAAGACTTGCGAAAGAAACATTAGGTACAAATACCTGGAGTAGAAGATGAAAGCACGGGCCATTTGATGAGCCTGCAGATAACTCAGAATGGTGGTGGCAGAGACTGCTGTATGAGATGGGAATTGACACGTGGCTTGACAGCCCAATGCTCTTGAATTTTAAAGGCCAAGAAGATAAACTGATTTACTGCACATTAGAAAGATCACTTTGAGCTCCTAACAGGTACTGTCACTGTGCCAGCCCTAGGTAAACAGTCAAAATATAAACCAGATCTGTCCCTGCCAGCCTATCACCAGCCACATCTGAGTCACTGTAACCTAAGGTCATGGTTCGGCTACATGGAGGCGCCTTGGCCTTGCTCTGTCCCAGAGCCAAGAATCTACCTCTGACATCATGGCACACCTTCTCACAAATAGGAGAGAAAGGACGGTGAGGATGGGTGTGAATGAACCACAATCACTTTTGCTGAAAAAGAATCAAAACTTGTTTCTGATAAACTGCATGATCCTAGTGAAAGGTCCAGGTTTAGAGATGACTGAGCTGAAATTTGTTTATTCTAAGCCTCAAAATCTTCACTCAAACATGAAGACACCCAACCTACATGTTCACTCTCTTGGATAGTGACTGAGCTGAAATTTTTTTATTCTCTCTAAGCCTCAAAATCTTCACTCAAACATGAAGACACCCAACCTACATGTTCACTCTCTTGGATGGCTAAGTGGGATGTTTGTAACCTGCCTACCAGAGTACCTAGGACATAACAGGTACTCCCAAATGGTCACCATTTTATTCCTGCTCATTCTGAATAAGATTGTGACTGCAGGATGTGATACAGCAAGAACAAAACCAAGTGCAGATTAAAAGGTGTGCACTCAGAAGTGGTTCACTGGAGTCTGTCACAATGTCCAAACTTAGCTTTTCACTTAGAAAATGTGGTTTATGTTGCCCAATCACCAGCAACATGCAGTCAGGATCCAGAAAAGATAGAAAAATGAAACTAAATGCTCCACAGCAATGCTGAGTTACTGAAGATTCCTCCTCTTAGAAAGAAGACAGTGGATTTCATAGCTCTGTGCTGATAAATGTAAGGTGTGAGTGAAAGGTGGAGAAAACCTGTCCTGAGCAGAGCTCCCCACCCAGCCACTATAAACCACACTGGCCCCACCAAAGAAAGGCAAACAGGAGAGATATTAGATTGGGTCTTCCAGAAGGTCTTTGTTGCAATTTCTCCATCATTGAAAAAAAATTACATCATCAAATAAAGACAATAGCAGCACAGCATATTGAAATGTTACAAGCAAATTTGCTTTTGTACTTTTCCTAAAAACATTATGAAACCCCCCCACACATTATCTGTAAAATGCCTTTTTTTTAAAGCACCATGAAGTCCTACAGAGAGAAAAATAGGTAAAACACCTCCACAAATGGGTTTATCGTCATTGTTGTCACAGGGTCCGCTGCCTGTGAATGTGGGATGGGAAAGGAGCTGGAGGCTGCCATGTGGGGTGGTTTGCATATCACTTCTAGGCTCCACTGTAACTCTCCATTGGAGCCTGGAGCCCTGGCAGCAAAGGAAGGGTTTGTGCAGTTGCCCACCACAGCCCGGGTCTTCTGGGAAGATGGGGCACGTGTCTGCTCAAAGAATTCTGTTTTAATGCCCAGGGAATTGTTTGATTCTTTGCTTAGGAAACAAGAACACAAAGGAGATTCCCCAATCTCAGGCACCATTTTTCAGTAAAATCGGAGACACCACTCATTTCTCCGCCATGCCACTGTGCTGATGTCATGTGACCTGCAGACTGCTGTGGGAGGGCTGAGGTTTACAAGGGGCTTGGATGGGTAGGTGACTTTGAATGCAGCTATCACACAAGGACAGAGCATGGGGTTTTATTGAGAGCCATGGGACTAGTGTGCTATCTTAGTTTCCATATGTAGAATTCACAGCACCCAGGATGCCACATTAAAGTAAGCTTTGTTTTAGCATCACATTCTTCCCTTAAGGCCATTACCAACTAGCTTTTACACTGCATCACCAGTGGCTTCCTCTGCTCCTCCAGCTACTCTTATGTGCACACAAATGGCATCTTAACAGTGAGGAAGAATTACCCCCACTTGAAACATTAGTAGCATGCAGAAAGCAGAGATATGGAACATAATACCAGCATGTTTCTGTATTCTTCCTGTAGAGAGGCTCTCTGCGTGCTTGTTTGTTTTCCTGTGGTTCAGAAACCATGGTACACGTTGGATGGTTCACATTCTTAAGCAGTCTACTGAGTCAAAACCTGCCCTTCTCAAATCCTGGCCAATTCTCCCTAATCCCCCAAATCAAGCATACAAATAGATACACAGCCCTGACTTAACTAGGAAGTGATATCATCTAAGAGGAAGGAAAGGGGGTGGTTGCCAAAGCTTAGCACAACCATGACTTTGAACGTGAAACGGTGCTCAGAGAACTCAGAACAGCCATTTCCTCCCTCTGTGTGTGTGTTTGTGTAAGAGAGAGACAGAGAGAGAGAGAGACAGAGACAGAGAGAGAGACAGAGAGACAGAGAGAAACAGAGAAGGGAGGGAAAATACACGAATTCATGAAATAATCAAAAGGAACTTGTAGTACAACTGACTGTAAATAGCAATAGCTTAAAATTCTTTAGCTAGTTTTAACACCATGCAAAAAATGCAAAATGCCCACATAGCATGAGCCCCAGGTGACAGTGTGCCAAAGAGTTCTAAAGGAGGATGGAGCCTACACCAGACATGATCCTAATTTGGAAACCAGTCTCCCAATACATCTGGTCTCCATCAGTCACCCAGAAAACAAAGGACAAGAAACCAAGCTCTCACCCTAAAAGGGGTGGGATCATTAATCAGTATTCACAAATCCAACTTATGACTTTCTTCATACATTTAATTAGCTCGTGGGCTGGGGAATGTCTCACCAGGGAACTGCCGAACTAAAAAGGTCCTTGACGACTCTCAGTGCTCAGCTTCCTTGATGTACACATGAGGTACAGGGAACTGACGTGTCCACAAGCACAGGCTGTGACTGGTTGAGTAGGTGGTAGCCCCAGTCGCCTCAATGGTAGGCTAGGGACACCCCATGTACACACACACACACACACACACACACACACACACACACACAAATATAGCTCTACCGAAAATATGACAGATTGCTGGAATTACTATTGGGTTAGGAGGACTGGGCAATGAGCTATATTAGTCTCCTTTGGCTGCCACCAGCAAACCTCCTGATGTATTCTGAGAATAAAATTCAGTACCCAACTACAAGTTGAAGCAAAGGACACCACCCACTGAAGATACTGAACATGTGCTCTTTCCATGCGCAACATCAGAATGTTTGCTCCGGGTTTTTGGTAAGGTGGGCATGCAGACTAAGGGTAAGGGGGAGGGCTGAGCAGTGCCATGTAGAATATGTAGCAGCTTTGCCTTATTGTGTGTGCTTTGCAAGCTGTCTGGCCCCATCAGGGATGGAGGTAACATCCAAGTAACCTCAACTGCTGAATCCTCAAATCTGAGCTTGTACACACGAAGAGGAATCCAACCTCTTCATCCCTCTCAGGATTTTCCCTTGGAGAGTACTTTATAGTTTTTTTAAACATTTTTCCCACCTGTTTAATGGATCAGTCTCCCCAGAAGGTCACCTTTGACATCATTCAGCTGGGCGTTGTCCCCACTGCACTCAGGGAGGAGGGGTTACCACAGATTTCAGCACTCCCAGCCCAAGGCTATTTTTGCCTCTATATTACTGTAATTTGACTCTTTGGGGAAGCATCTATGCACACACCAACACATGCTCCTGTTCCATTTGGTAGAATATGCAGCTCAGTGCTCTCTGAACTGTTTTAGTCCTGCTGAATGTGAAATTCCTGCAAGGTAAGCAAGTAAAGTGCAAAAGAGTGCTCTAAAAGGGCATTCTTAACTGTACAGAAAAAGTGCCATATGCAGCATTCCCCAAAACAAAACCAAGACTGTGCACAGTAGGTGTCTTCAAGTGCAACCCTCTAGGCTGTGTTTACACAAAGACTTCCTGCACTCTTCCAGATACAGATTCCTCCGAATCTTCACACCCCTCTGTAAACTATGTCCATGAAGTTTGAAAGACACATGTGCATGCGCACACACATACACACACACACACACACACACACACACTCACACAAGGGTGCATGACACAGACACTGTAGCAAAGTTGAAAGCCATACACACACACACACACACTCACACAAGGGTGCATGACACAGACACTGTAGCAAAGTTGAAAGCAGACTTTGGTCATACTTTGAATACCAGCTCTACCACCTTCTTGCTGTGTGCCTAGGTAAGTTACTCAACTTTCCTGAGCCTCCATGTCCTCATCTGCATAATAGGTTTGCAAATACTTCCCCTGTGGTGCTGTGACCATTTGTGGAGCTGACATCCATAAAGTGCCTGATCCAGTGCCTGGTCCACAGAAGGCACTGGATAAATGGGAGGAAAGCCTCTTTGCCAGATCTAACTGTTGTGCCTGCAATTTTAACACACTGCTAAAGAAGAACCAATGTACTATAGGATGGAAACATAAATATGAGATCCAAAGGTTTAATCAGGAAAATCTGAGTTATCTACCAATTCCTTAAAACCCTTGGTTCAGGCTGGAATGATACCCACAGTAAAAACCAACACCCACACCTGCATACCCATCGCTTCCCAAATGTCTGTACTGTGAACACTGGATGTCACCAGTGAGCCACTGCTCAAGCAGAGGGAAGGAAGAACCAAACCTGACCGGAAAGGTTCCATCACAGCGGCTCTTATTTGGGTCCTTCTCAAAAACAATGCCAGGACTTTAACTCAAGCGTAAAAGTTTGGGGTCAGGCAATGGACAGCTGTCATTTTGAGGGAAACAAGCAAGAAAGGTCTTTGTGTTATGAATGGTCGAGGATACAGTGGGCATAATTTTCCCCTGAACATCAGAAAGCACTAGAAGGTTTCTGGAAGTCTCCACTTGTGTTCTGATCATTTGGTAAATCCACAGTGTGGGTGAGTTGTGTGACGTCCCCCAAAGTGGGAGGTCCATAACCAGCAACTGCCTGGTATTGCCAGACACAAACGCTTCAGCAGCACAGACAGCTAACTCTGAACTGATGTGACACCCCGCCGATTGTGATAAACCAGAAACACACAAAGACAATGGCCTATTATTCTTTTTTCCCTCTCTGATAAAAATCCATTTAAAATCACCCTCTCAAAGCCGGTGACTAGCTGTTCTCCCACCCTCCTCACTGACTGTTCTACCATCATATCATAATTATCACCCATTGGTTACTGTTTGCCTTGAAACAATCAAGGAGGAGTGTTCAAGAATGCTTCTAGAAGAAAGGAACAGCCAAACAGAAGTAAAACAAAATATTGTAAGTACTCCTTTTAAGTATTGTTTTGTAAATGGCATTAATGGCACTTAAGCTGCAAGCAAAACCTTTCAATTTTACAAGAGTTGGTCGAGGGATTAATTTTACTTTTGTTTGGAAATAGCAAGACTGGGTCTCATGACTATGTCTACCCAAGACACTCGAAGGGACAGAAAGCCCTGAGATGGAAAGATGCCATGGTACTTCTCGGTATGTCTCAGAAACGCAGGATTTCTATTTTTATAAAAATTTAGAATTGGCTAGACAGAACAGCAAGCCACTGGCATCATGCAAGGCAATAGTTTTGGTATTTGCCCCCTTATTAAAACAAGTTATAACTTAAGTTTCAGTAGAAAAGTGAACATGGACATTTCAAAATCAGTTTATTTTCACCATCACACCCACTGATGAAAATGCACGACTGGCCTCCAACCATGCAGCAGTTGAGGTTGACTTTTCACCAACGCTTGCAAGTTCTCCTGGAATATCTGGCCCCATGAGGACAAAACTCTGGAGGCTTCTGTCGTTGGTTAAGGAGATAACCACAGTGTGATGTGTGTGATTATTTTTAATTTCATAATGAGAAAAGCAATCGCACCTTTTCATAGGCGCACTCTGATCTGCTTCCAACAAAACTTCTGGGTGCTTTCATGTTCCCACAAGCATTCTCTTGGAGCTCAGAAAGCGTGTTACACGCTGAACGGTGCAGGTCAAAATTTAAGCTCAGAGCACACGCCGAAATGTCAGCTCTAAACCTAGTCACAGTTACCAGTTCACCCGCGGTCAGGCCCCCTTCTGTGTGTGAGGGTAGCTGCAGGAAACCAAACTCCAGATACACCTGTTCCCTTCAGAGGCTGGTCTAAGGAATAGCTGCCCTGGGCTGCATGCCACGCCCAGGTGACACTGCTCGGTGGTACAGCATCACTGTGGGAACCCCCTTGACGTGTGCGGCCCCACCCTGCTACATGTGCGAATGCTCCCTGTGTGTCCCGAAGCTGCTGTCTGAAATGAAGTTCTTGTTCTTTGATTCATTTTGGCAGAGCAAGCTTTCAGTCGTTTATGGCACAGTGAAATATATTCTTCAATGCTATGTAATTTTGGACTCACAAGAAGTCTGTTTTAAGGCACGTGTCTCAGTGTGAATATTTAAAAAAAAACACACACACACACACACAACGCTCGGTCCTAGTCCAAAGTCCTTAACATTTAGTTTCTGTCTTCAAGTAATGAGTTGTTCTCAAGCTCCCTGTCTTTGGTGTCCGTGGGTACCATTCCGTTCTCCATCTCTGCATGCTGCTGGATGCACTCCGTCAGCATGGCTGTGCTGGAGTTGTCTGAGTTACACATCTTTTCAGTCTCCTCCTCTTTCTTCTCTTCATCCAGAGAGTAATTCCGGAAGGTCTTGTAGATTTTCTGCACGTCCTCGGGCAGGGTCTTTTTGAGGTCTTTGTTTTTCCTCTTGGTGAGTCTGGAGGTGGACCCGAACTTGTTGATGATGTTGTCCTCAGAGGCGCCCTGCCCATGTTTGTTGAGCTGCTCCGACCCCTTAAGGCGCAGGTTGTTGGGTCGGTTATTGATGCTCTCCTGGGAGGAGGCCTTGAAGCGGCCTGTGTCCAGGGCTGCGAAGACGGAGCGCTTCTCTGGGGACAGCATGTCCAGCGAGTGGGCTCTCTGGTCCAGGCCCAGTCGCCGGCGCTCCATGCTGCGGATGGTGGCCGCCCGCTGTAGCTTGTCATGGATCTCAACACTGAGCCGCCGCCTCGTCTCCCGAAACTCGGCCGTCACGTTGGCCTTCCACTCTGCCGCGTGGGCCTTGATCTCACCAACCTGGCCAGGAGCAGAAGAGCAACAACACACTGAGAGACGCTTCTCTGCCTGGGCTCTCCCAGCATCCACAGCCCTCAGGAGCCCCCGTGGAGAGGCTGTCTCTGGGGAGGCAAGGAATGAGGAGCATGCATCCATGGAAAGGGGCAAAATGCTACTTCTGCCTTAGTGCTCCACCTAGATTCCCACCTTAAACGCTCTAGTGGTGGATGTGACTCGAGGAGGCAGATGTGGGAAAACCCACAGGACACTGGAGATTGGGAGGTGCTGGCCAAATGAGAGAGGTGGGCAGAATTCTGGAGAAGAGATCAATAATTGGGGCCCCAGGTAAGTTTCCACTCCTTTTATAAAGAATATGGCTGATTTCCTCCCACATAAACTAGGGAAATCATACCTAGCTCACAGGGTCTTTATTGTTACATAAAATAAAGCAATGCATCCAACTGCACAAAGCAGGTACTCAGTAAGCCTTGTGCCCTTCCAATCTCTCCCTCTGGGTGGATGATCGTCCTGTCCCAGCTTGGCTGGGACTAATCTGGTTTTAAAATAGAAAGTCCTACATCCTAGGAACCTCCATGAGCCCTGGGCAAGCTGGAACCATTGATTACCCTATGTCTGGGCCATGCTGTGGCCACGTTGTGGCGATGGGTCTTGCTGATGAAGACACTCCAGGACACCCAGTAATCACACCTCCCTTCTGGGTGCAGGACAAAGCAGATTCTGCCAAAGGCCACAGAACATACATTCCTAGAAAGTGAAGTCTAGCCTGAACTTTTAATCAAAAGAGCAGACAGTCCAAGTGCCACGTGTTCCTGTAGAGATGACTGGCTCAAATTTTTGCATTTAGAAAAATCAGTATATCTGTTCTCCCCCGCTCTTTCGTTACTGCTGATCTTCAGCAGGTTGGTTATCCATCTAGGGAATCTCTAGAAATTGCCCTGACAGTGTTTACACAATCCAAGAAAACAAACATGTGGGACCAGGAATGATCGGGGAAATTTCCCCTTCGGCAAATTCGTCCTAGGGACCTTTACAGAGAGGGAACGGCTGTCTTTAAAGGGGCTGCCCTCTCCTTGTCCTGTTTGGGGATTTCTTCTCTCTGCTCCTTTCTTTAACTTTCTATCCCCTTTCATTGCCCTTCTACTTTCTTTTTTCTTTTCTCATCTTCCTAAAAGAACATGAATTGTTTTTTTAATTACAAAATCTATCTTTCCTTCTTAGATCTTCCTTTTCTCATCCTTGCGTAGGTTCTCGTACAAATTTATGGGCAGGAGTAAGGACTGTGCCCCTGGCTGCAGACAGAAATCTGTCTGTAGATCTGACAACAGATGGGGAGACAGGATACAGATGAAAGGGACTCCTTGAGTCCACTTCCCCATAGCTGGCCACTGTTTGATGGCCTCCACCTCACACTGAATAGAGAAAGACTCATGGTGTTTGACTGGGTTTCCTTACAGCTTCCAAGACCTGGGGACAGCCTAACTTTCCTGGGCCCCTTTTGAGACTTCTAAGTCTCCCCATATATCTGCTGCTAATGGGCAAACGCACAGCTCCTTTAGCAACTGTCAGCCTTTACTTACTATTTCTATGCTTTTCCTTTTCATTTATACTTTTTTAAATCAACTCTTGTTTACTAGTCTTCCCAGGGTTGTGGGCTGGTAGATGAATCACTATGTTTCCCCACCTGCCCAGAAAGGCTCTAGAAATAACTGCTACTCCATTCAACTTGGCCTTGAGGCAGATTCTAAATGAAGAAGCCATATGAGCCTTGCATGAGTCAGGAACTTTCGAGCCCACAGAACCCAGACGGGCTAATCTGAAGTCAAGAACATCCATAGAGTCCGGGAGGGGTCTTACCTCTTCTTTTGTCTTTTTGGATAGAACTCGCAGCCAATCTCCAATCATGCTGAGGACAGCTGCAAAGTAGGCAAGGCCAACAAGGATCCAGAACCACACCAGGGGCTTATACCATTCCCGGTAATTAATGCCAGCATTCCCCCCTGCAAACAACAAGCATTACTTTAACCAAGGTCTAGCATATGCTTCTTGAAGATCAAATGTCCCAGCGATGTCATTCCACTATCATCCAACACTAAGCTGTTGGCCTCATGGACACAAGACATAACGGAGACCGGAGGGCAACACAAGACGGGCCCCTTGCTTCAGAAGCCTGGCTCGAGCCTTCATTTCTCTGATTTCTGACCATTAAACTTGATGCCTGTAGCAGGAAAATGCAGGGGTCAGCTTGACCTGTCTGTTCTCACCTGAGCATCACCTGAGTGATTTGATCTGGTGCTCCATGGATCAAAGCTGTCTTTTTTCCCCCCTTAAATTTCTCTGGATTTATTTTAATGAAAATCAATATTATATCATCCCTCATACTTTGGAACTCCTGGAACTATTTCCATCTGAAGCTCATACACATCTACCAAGAGATGAATGGATGTAAGGAAGTAAAATTGAGCACAATGACATTACTGAGGCTTTGATCCACAAACTAGTCATTTAATGCTGACTGAGGGGTGGTGTACACATGATGCTAATACAAAGGGTCAATTAGGCTGAGTAATTAGAATTGCCATTAGCTAGTACTAAAAGGGACCTTTGAGGCCAAACTAGTCTAAATCCTTTATTTTATAAATAAACATTACAGTAAAAATCCATCAAGGCAAATTGGCCAATTGCCTGATGGTATTGACTGGCTGGTTAATTGAAAGGACAGGTCACTTATTCCAAATAATTAGTCTGTTTATTCTAGCCTTCTTATAAGTACTGCGGAGACCAACCTTGAAACAGTCTTCAAGCTCACCACGCTCTCCTGAAAAAGTGAAGAAGCTCAGTAACATAATGGCTGTCAGCCTTGTCCTAATCACGGGAGAGATCGCGGCCCAGGGAGGCAAGCAGGACCATTTCTCGGATGACTAACATCAGCAATGCATTGGCAATTAAAGCATTAGGTGGTGAGTGACTGTGAGATGTTCCAAGTGGTTCGTGAATATAACCACATCTAGCACCACTGATGCCATACTGAGCTCTTACAGCGTTCATGGCATTCATGGTACCTGAGAGCCAGCTTGACAGACACTGGGACCTGTGTTTACTAGTCTTCCCAGGGTTGTGGGCTTCTCAACATGCCCACATCCACTTTTCAATGAGCCCACCAGGCCTTGACAGTTACTCTACTTCCTAAAGTGAGAATTACAAACACTGCTACAGGGCTCTCTCTGTGTCAAGTCCCCTCTGGTTTGGTTTAACTGCATTTATTTTTTTTCCCTGTAGGCAACTAACAGTCCCCTGCAGCTTTCCCTAGGAAACAATTTGAACTCCTACAGCACTACATGGTTTTTTGAGGTCCGTGTTCTGTGCTAGGCCAGAGAACTTTGCAGTTTTCTCACCTGGGCTGTCAAAGATTATTTCCAAGTCACGATCGCTCAACCAAGCCTGTCACTAGGGGGCGCTAGTAAACAACGCAGTAACCCCTCCTCTGACCATCTTTTTTATCTGAAAGCCCCTCTGGAACAGGAGGAAGTTCCGAGTGGGCTCCCAGCCCGGGTTGCACAACACAGCAGTGTCATTAACTGTTCCAGCTACAAAATAAACAGCAGTCCATCCTGTGTGATCAATGCTCCGATTATATTTCTAGTATAGTTGACCATGTCAGCTCACAGCAACCAACTACCAACTCTTGGATGTGTATCTCATTTTAATGATTGGGCAACCTGCCCTATCACTCTTAAGGAGTTGGCCATTGCCTGTATCTGTGGGTTCTGCATCCGCTGACTCAAACCAAAGCCACATCGAAGATGTTTGAAAAAAAATTTGCATCTGACATGCACAGTCTTTCTGCCTAACAACTATTCACATTTCATAATATTTACATTGTAAAGTATGGCCAGTAATCTAGAGATGATTTCAAGTATAAGGGAGGGTATACATGGTTTATATGTAAATACTATGCCATTTTATAAGAAAGGCTTAAGCGTGTGCCAATTTTGGTATCTGTGGGGAGTCCTGCAACCAATCCTCTTGAGAGATGACTGCATTAACAACAGGTAGTAAAAAACTTCTGGTCTTTCAAAGAATACACTCTCCTTATGGGTTGATGTAACCCCTGGAAATTGGGACTTATAAGGGTCTGGTATAATTATGATCAGTACCAAGAATGATAGTGTTTTAAATCTCATATTCTCAAGGGTCTGATAACCATGCCCCCAGATTAACCTAACTGATTGAACTGAGCTATTGATTAGATAGAAGGATCCATGCTAAAGACCTTACATACATAGTCTTCAGAACAGGCCAGTACCAGCACAGAGAGCTCTGAAGCACATCCTGTTGCAAATTATGCTTAAAGTTTTGGTAAATAGTTCTAAACTCCCATCTGCTCTTACATATATTACCTTATATTGGAATCTCAACTGAGTTTTCCCATGGGCCAGCTACAGATGACACTAAGGAATTAACCTGAATAAACTCACAAATATTTCTCTTATTTTGTTCAGTTTCTGTGTGGCTTCTCTCCACAGCCGAAACTTCTAATCAGATCAAACTGGGTGAGAGGTCTGAACAAGGGAAGATTACCAGGGTCCCAACCGCAGCTTTTCTGAAAACAATTTTTAATTACTTTGACTTTACAATTCTTCATCCATAGTCCATAAAAAGAAAAGGAAAAAAATAATGGCTATTTCTAAAAAAAAAAAAATCAGCTATTTCTTCAGTCTCGATCTGCCCAGTTGGAATAGCTACCAAACCACCCTGCTACTCATCTGTCATAGAATTAACAGGTGGCCATGCTCCTGTCTAATGTCCCTTCCAGATCCCCATCTTCTTCTTGTGTTCTGTACCCTATGGGGAAATAAAAGCACTGATGGGATACCATGCCAAATAGAGAGCAGCCTTCCTGGAAGTTCAGCCTGCAGATTTTCAGGCTGCTGCTTAACCAGGAACTGGTCAAGGAAGTGCACACACATAATCACACACACACACACACACACACACACACAGGCACAAACATATTCTCTCTCTCTCCTCCCAAATATTTCAAGCTTATGGAATTGTCTGACCAGCATGTTCACTTCCTTTTTGTTCACAGACCAATATTCTTTATGAATATAACCACAGAAACTCAACCAAACATGAGCACATCAAATCCAGCAACATAAAAAAAATGGTATTAGATACCAGAGCCAACCAGGATTTAAATGTCCCAGGAATGAAAACTTGGTTTAGATGAAATCAATTCTTATGAAAAAAGAAAGGACAAAAGTAAGAACAAGCATTCTACGGAATCTAATGTTGTTCATGGCTCCGTGGCTGGTGGCACCTGATGCGTGACCTGAAGGACTATTTTCATTTGTATAATCCTTGGCCCCATAGCCTCAGGTCTCCCCGTCATGATGGACTCTGAAAAAGGAAGCAGCCCTCCCTGCCTTCCAGACACCCACGGCTCAAGCTGCTTCAGGATTAGTAAATGTGGCAGAGGACCAAGAGGACAAGCAGGATTATTCCACTGGCACTGACCACTCCCCTACAAGAAGGCTTTTCTGACCTTCGGCAGGCTTTTTCAATATGTCACACACTCTGTACCTTCCATCCTCTCCTCGCTGCCTCCAAAGACAGGACATCTGCACTTTCCTAAGTGTCACCATGCTCCACCTTACCCTTGCTTCCATCTCCTCACTGGCAGTGCTCAATTCTTGGAGTAAAAAACTATTAAATGCCTGAACACCTGAGCAACCCCTACTGGGAAGGCAAGGATGGCCGCTTCCTCTTCCTGCCTGCCTATCACTTTGGGAAAGTGATACATGTGTGAAACCAAATCTCTTTTTATTTTCAAGCTCTCTAACCCTACACATAACTGATGGTGGTTTTCTTTCTCTCCCTTAAGTACAGCTCATTGATATATATTTTCACAATGAAGACTGTTGCTTCTACATACATTACATAGAAAAGCTATTAGGTTATAGTTCCTCAGGGAAGCACCCACCTCCCAGCTGTCACCAAGTCCTTAATCTTGCAACCAGGAATGCCCAGGACTTTTTCAGGGACAACGCCTCTCCATTCAGGATTAGAAAGTGCAGGTGACTGCAGGCCAACATCAGTGCTGACTTTTCCAGACTTTCACACTCGCCTTATGTTAATACGACTTTTGTGAGCCTTGACATGATTAAAAAGTCCAAGATTCAATGAGAAATTTACTTTCCTCTTGCATAATTCACAGGACACTGAGGACACTTAAGCATCCTGAGGAGGAAGGGGATGGCTTTCTTTCCATAGCAGAAATAAGCCTGCCACTGTTGACATCACACAGAACAAGGGGTCTGAAATGAGCACATGCCAGCAGCAGCAACAACACTAAGTCATTTTCATACGCTTCACCCACAAATATGGTGATTTTGAAAAGCTCAACCAACAGACAATTTTCCCTACCAGGGCCCTAGTGACTGGGACCCCCAACGTGCTTACCTGCCACAAAATCACCAAAGCCCACTGTGGTTAGAGTGACCACCACAAAGTAAATAGACTCCAACGCTGTCCATCCCTCAATGTATTTGAAAATGACAGCAGGGATTGTCACAAACACAATGCAGCCGGCCAAGATGAACAAGATGGTGGAGATGACCCGGATCTTGGTCTGGCTCACTTGCTTTTTCTAGAAAGAGCAAAGGAGAAAGATTGATAGGCAAATCGGAATCTTCACCTGGATTCAGAAGACAGATGCATAGAAAAAAGTGCTATCAGTGGTTTCTCACATTTCTTCAGTCATAGGCTGCTTGACAGAAACCCAGGGAAAGCTGTGAACAATTTCCTAGAAAATGCACAGGATTTTCAGGTGACTTAGAAGGTTCTCTGACTCCCCCAAGTCAAAACTTAGCTCATACTTTGAATATCCCTTGAATGGTTCTGCCTGCAGCACAAACAGAAATTCTAACTTCTTCAGTAGTACAAACATAATTATTTCCCAAAGAGGGTTTGTTGTTATTTTCGTGCACCATTACTGACTCTCCATGTGGGGTAGGGGCAGAAGTTTGACGCTCTTTTCACAGTGGCAGTGATAGATTTGCACCAGTTTCTCTTGCACCAAAGACCTGAGGGGGAAATGACCTGAGCCAGGTCAAAGTGTGTGGATGAAAAGAACACAGCCACCACCATGTGACACTCCAGCAACAGGCTGCAGCCAGACACTGGTGTGTTTCTGCACACTCCTTCCCACTGCAGAAGCTGTATATTTATCATGCTCCCTTGTTTTAAAACATGTTCATTTAAGCTAATGCTGTAGCAGCCATGTTTGTTGGCTGCATTACCCACAAGATAGAAAAGAGTGACAAGGTCACTAAGGCATCAGAAGGAGCTTCATCTCAGGCCAGCTTCTAAGAGTCAGCAGCTAGTTAGCAAAAATGCATTAGATATTAGAATTAGATATCAGGGCAAAGGAACCTTTGCAAGGGTGCAAGTGGTAGGCAAGTGGCATCACCGGTAAGCCTCATCAATGCACTGGAGATCCCCTTCACTGCCTCTAAGCAATAAGAATCCAAGTCTTCTCAAGCACTAGGACTGAAGATGGTCATCAGGAGTTCCTAGTTCCATACAACAGCAGAATACATGTAACATATGTTTAGTACTAGAGTGCATGGCTTATCTACATTGCTTTGTTTGGGTTTTGGTATAGTACACCACAATGGAGACAACCAGCATAGGAAATCTTTACCATACAATCTCCTTCCTATTCTTTGCCTTCTGGTAAGTCAGAAAGCAAAGAATCTCAGAGCACAGAGAGGACTCTGCTCTCCTATACTTCATTTTACTGACGCAAAACAGAAGCCAAGGGGGGTTAAGGGACTTGCATAAAAAATGATGCTGCTATTTAGAAGCAGAGCCAAGATTAGAGTTCTGATGTAATTAGCTCTCAGGCCTGTGCTTAATGATGGAAACAGCTTTTCAAATTATTCAATAATTTACCATTTCAAAGTTGCCAAATAAAGTTGTGTTTCCCTAACACGAGATGGCAGACTCACTCCCGATGAAGGACGGGGCTTCCTGCGGAAGGAGGAAGACTGAGAAGTCACTGGGTGATTTGTCCAGGAAAAAGCACAGAAATCTAGAAAGCAGTCACATGCTCTGACAAAGATGGCAGACTCACTCCCGATGAAGGACGGGGCTTCCTGCGGAAGGAGGAAGACTGAGAAAAGTCACTGGGTGATTTGTCCAGGAAAAAGCACAGAAATCTAGAAAGCAGTCACATGCTCTGACTCCTCAGAGGGTGCTCAGTATGCTAATTAGAAAAGGGGAAAAATAATTTGACCTGTGCCTTTGTATTACTGTCCTTTCCTTACAGTCTCCGGAAATCCATCAGGAAAAAAAAAACACTGCAATCTAGTGACACTGTTGAAACATCATATGAAAGTGTGAATCCTTCTCTACATCAGAAATTATCGTGACAAGATTAGCAATGTGAGAACCATAGGAAATACTTTATCCCTTTCATGAATTGCCATGTTAATAGGGGAGGACTTTCTGGCGGAACGTGAGCCTCTCTGAGAATCTAGGAACTTACACTCACAGATATGCAGGAAAAGTCCAAAAAAGAAGACTTCACCATAGACGATTAAGTTCATCTAATTGCTGGCATTGGGAACACCATCTGCCCCACCATAAACTGTCCTCCTCAAATGCATAATGAAATTAAAGGAAATTGAATGTTAAATGTTTGTGAGACACTTGTTAAGTCATAAATTAGGATGCGAATGCAGTTGCAATCTAAATGAGGATGAGGTCGGCAAAGGAGGGCTCCAAGTACGTGGGAAGCTGGAGATCAGATGGGGAAGGGCAAGACTGAGTCTGGTGGAAGAGAAGGCAGCGTGGAATAGGCCACACGATGGTGACTTCATTGCATTATCCACGGCACAGTGTATCAGCAAGGCAAACATTTCTCCTCCGAGTTCCTGGGCTACCTGAAGCATTTCATTATTTGGTATATTTTAGGAAGTTCAAAAATCAGTTGTGTGTGTGCATGTACACGTTTAGGTGTGTGCTGGTGTATGAAAATATGTGTATGCCCATACTTCATTATAAAAGGGAAAGGCACGAGTGCAAGGCTTTAAAAGCAATACATGCCTGTTATTATGGACACTTAGGCTTTTGCTGCCCTTGAGATACACAACAATAAACCAGTGGCCTCAAGTGAACAATGTTAAACTGCAGCTTTCAGCACAGAACCATAAACCATCTCACATATCACACAGTGATCTTCAGGTCTCCTTCCCCCATTAGCTCTCCAACTTCACCCCTGGTGTAAGCGGCGCGGAAGAACACACAGTCTCAGAGTCGAGGCACATCTCAGGCATCTGCCTGAGACACATCCCATGCCCACTGCTAAAATGACCTCACACCAGTTTCTCAACCTCTCTGTGCATTAGTTCCATTTGTGATAAAATGGGGATAAGAGAGCCAACCTTGCAGGGTTGTTTGGAAGAGGAAGGCTGTGTAAACACTTAGTGCAGCACTGTTACTAACAGGCATTTTAATATAAAGTTCAAACCTTTGCTTAAAAATAGGAAGACCCTGATTTAGTACCTCTCTTGCTGCTGAGGAGTGCGCCCTTGTGTCTGTCCTAACATAATCTTTGTTTAGCTTCAGGAGGTCACTGTGAGTTTTCCCTTCCTGGATATATTATCTCGTAAATTACCTCACTTTCAATGAGAGAAAAATCCTCATTCTCCCTTGGCTCTTCAGCGCCAACTGCAGATTAGGCTCTCAGACATTCTCAGTTTACAATCTGGGAAGCTTTTTTATTTGCCTTTCAATTCATTTCCCCGTTGCTTTTCATCCTCCTCCTGAAAGTGCTATGAACTGCAGATAATGCCTGGGACGTGGTCGGGAGCCAGCTGCAGAGGGGCCCTCGTTTTCCCTGCTTCCCCAGGCCTGCTGCACTGTCTGCAATTCTCAGTCGTGTTCCACACCACTCACATAACGGAGCCGGCCTTCCAAGGTGGGGTTGCTAGGCAAGATCACATCGATTATATATACCTGTCAGAAGAGGAGCCAGCAGAAAGCTTTGTGAGAGCCCAGACCTAACAGAGTTATGTGTCCTTGGGCTAACAAAACTGTTGTCTGGGAAGAGAAGGTCTGATCTGCCCCAACATGAGGCAGAAATGACAGGATGATTATGCACATCAGTCCCTGTCTTGTTTTCACCCCGCAGATTGGTTGGAACAGATGATATGTTCGTCCCTGCTCCTTATGCAAATAGGAAAAACACAAAACTATCTCCCCTGTCTAAATGGGGGTGAGTACAGGAATTTCTGAAGAGCTCAGAACCCATCTCCCTGAGAGTTTATTTAGTTATTAAAATTATGCTTGTGATTATTTCAAAGACCAAATAAGCTTCATAAATAGTAGGGGAGCCACTCTCAGAGCTCCCCTTTGAGAGAGGGCTGTATGCTTGGACAACTCCACAAGTGTTTACTGGTTTCAGGCTTCAGAGGGTTGAGCCACATGTCCAATTATCACTGAGCAGAAATCCCTGACTATTTTTGTTTACTTTCACAATGTAATGTTGGAGAAATATATCTGTCTTCAACTGTGAGCTATTTCTTTTTCATTTTTCCTCCTCTCCAATACCCAATCTCTTCTTATCTTTACAGTATTTCTTAGAATTCTGACATTACCCATCCAGACTGTTTTGTCTGGATGAGAAATATTTTTGGGGGGTGTGATTTTTATAACCAGGACCTTGAAGGTTTTATTCAAAGACAATACCATAAAAAATCCTAGGACAGGAGCTAGATATGCAGAGCTCTGGTTTATAGTTTAGTTTGGTTTTGCTGAAATGCAGACATGTCGCCATGGCAATTCAATTGAACCAAAAAGTTCATTTCTCAAAATAGATAATAAGAACTGGTTCACAAAGGACAGACATTATTTCCTTATACTATCATGTTTTCTCCAAAGATTTCTTCTATAAAGTTCACTTATAGCTAATAGCTTCAAAACCGTAACAAATAACCATGAAGCACGCGCAATTCTATAAACTTGAGGACAGTTTTTAAATCTCATTGCCTATAATCTCCATTGGTAGAGACATTCTAAACACACATTACTGAGAACAGTGTAGTAAAATCTCCATGGAGACTACCGAAAATGTCCTACTCAACAGCTGAATAAACAAATAGATCACATCTATATGAAGAGAGAAAGAGTCATATCTGACTCTGAGTCATGTTGCAACATACAACCGCTCTGCTGTTGCACTAAGCAAAGTTTTTGAGAAAGAGTTTGGTATACATGACTACTATTTTTACCTTTGGATTGCCAATGTAGGTCCTGGGATGAAGAAAAATTAACATTCACAAATAATAAAAACCTCTTAGCAGGCCCTCCCCAGGGAGTTCCCGCCATCTTCAGCGCCAGAGGGTCTTCTCGGCCGGGCCCTCCCCTGCTGGCGCGACTGCAGCCATCTTCAGGGCCAGAAAGGTAGCCCCGCAGGCACCCCCGAACCGGGCCCCCCCAACCTTCCCCCTCGTGCTTTTAGACCTCCGGATTGTACCAGTCTTTGGACCTACTCTGTAAAGGCAGAAGTGGTCATAAAGAGTATTTTCTGGCACTTTCAACTTGAACATCTTTAAAGAAGTGGTGGGGGAAAACTTATAGTAGAACTGAGTGGAGTTCAACCCTTCAGGAGGTCGGGGAACTCAGTCTGGGCCTTGCAGTCCGAGCTCAGTCTGCTTTGTGGGGTTCTGCCACCAGCTAGCTGAGGTCAGGGGACTCGGCTCTGCAAATAGCAGCACATATTGTATATTATGACAGCAGTGATAAAGTCTGAAAGAGGCCCTTCAAACTCAGTTTTGTTTCTTTTTTTCATCCTACTCTGCAAATTTTTTTTCTTTTTGTTTTCTTTCTCTAACTCAGTCTCTTACTCCACTATAGTATCCCTCATCTACCTTTTGGTTTCTGCTCTTGTCCTAATTCAGTTTTCTTCTTTTATTATTTTTTCTCTTTTCTTTATGTTCTTTTATGTTATTCTACCACACTCAAGGGTTATTATATTTTCTATTTTGTTTGTTCTTTTTGAATTTAACAATTTCCTGACGATTGTCTGGTCATTCTATGTCTTTTGGCTTCATATGAAACCTTCTCTAATTCTTATACTTATCTACTCCTCTTGTCTTAACTTTGTTTTAAGCCCCCATTGTAAATGGTAAATATCCTTATTGAAAAGTTTATTTACTGTAAGCATATTTTGGATTGCTTCTTGATTGTAATTAAATTCACATGGTTTGAAGGTGATCGATTGATGACTACCATAAGTGGTCAATTTGCAAATTGTGCTTCATTATATTGTGGTGCTGATTGTATCAATTAGGTTAAAGGATTGTGATTGATTCAATGTTTTCTTCAGTATGATGAAAATGAGAATGTCTATGAGTCATTAGAGACCCATGGGCTGCAGCCCAACTATATCAGGAAGATTTAAGTAATAACCTAGGAGGGGAAGAGGGGGTGAAGGGAGGGCAGAGGTAAGAGGAAAAAATGAGAATCAAAGACTTGTCATGTAGAGATACAAGAGCCCAACAATGAATGTAACTGTACTGTATCCCTAAAATGTACCAATAAACTCAATTAAAGCTGAAAAAAAATTAAAAAATAAGTAATAACCTAAAGGTTACTAAGGACAACCCAACAACAATAGTAAAAATGAGAAAACGCTTAAGCAAGATACAGGGACAGACTTCCAGCTCACCAATGGCAAACAGTGGGGCAGATGAGGATGAAAAGTCTGATAGTGAATCATCAGGACACCCTGAACTCAAGGCACATCAAGTAACAAAACTGATCAGTCAGGCTCTAGAGAAATATAAAAGAGAAGTAATTTCCCAGATAATCATAGAGATGACGAACAAAATGAAAGTTATAATTCACGACTCCAGAACAGAAACTGAGAGGAAAATAGATGAGCTCAGGACCATAATAGAAGCCATGAATGCCCAGTATAAGAAAGAATTGGAAACAATAAATGCCCAATACAAGAAAGAAACGGAATCCATAGGACAGATTCAAACAGATATCCAGGAGATTAAAAACTCCATTGAGAGTGTTCCCAAAAGAATAAAAGAGTCTGAAGATAGAATCTCAGATATAGAAGATAAAATTGCAGTTAGTTACCGTGAAAAGAGAGGTCTCTTAAAAACAGTAGGGGATCATGAGAAATTGATACAACAACTCTTAGACAATACTAAGAAGAATAACATAAGATTGATAGATTCAAGAAGTAGTAGGAGAAAATGTAAATGACTTAAAAAAGCTGTTCACAGAATTAATTATAGAAAACTTGCCAAACAGAGGGGAAGAATATGATATACAGATAAGTGAGGCATATAGGACTCCAACTAGCCATGATAAAAAAAAATCTACACCTAGACATATAATAATCAAGATCCCAGAAACCCAACAGAAGAACAAAATACTACAAGCAGTAAGAGACAAGAAACAAATTACATGCAAAGGAAAGCCTATCAGAATCACAGCAGACTTTTCAATACAAACCCTTAGGTTAAGGAGAGCCTGGAATGAGATATTTCAAGTACTAAAAGAAAACAACCTCCAACCTATACTGATGTATCCTGCAAAACTTTCTTTTAAAATGGATGGGGAAATAAGATATTTCCATGATAAAGAACACCTGAGAAACTTTATGAATACCAAACCAGCACTACAATGAATTCTAAACAATATCCTAGAAAAAGACAATGAAGGTAACAATGAGACCCAACAGAACAAATCAAATAGACAAGTCAAGAAACTAAAAGGAGAGGGGGAAAAAATTGATAATAATGTTAGTATATATCAGCTTTAACCATCAATATTAATGGCCTCAATTCACCAATCAAGAGAAATAGACCAGCAGAATGGATTAATAAGCAAGATCCAATACTATGTTGTATACAAGACACGTCTAGTGTAAAAAGAAGCCCATAGACTGAAAGTTAAAGGACAGAAAACTTCATGTAACAGGAGCTCCCCCCACCAAAAAAAAGCAGGGGTAGTGATCTTATTCACAGACAAAGTAAGTTTCAAACTTAAAGTGATTAAAAGAGACAAAGAAGTTCACTACATCCTTGTGAAGGGAACAATTCAAGAGGAAGAGATAACAAATAATTTATTTTTAATTTATTGAGTATGTCAGAAAGTATACATGCATTTTTTTCCTCTTTTCTTTTTTTCCTTTTTCTTTTTTATTCCTCTGATGCTGGGGATTAAACTCAGCACATTGTTCTGGCTAGGCAGGTGCAGCACTATTGAGCTAAATCTCAGGCTTTACATTTCATATTTTTAAAATTTATCAATACATTAATCCTTGTCTCTATATGTTGGTCTACCAAATTGATGAGTTCCTTTGGTTCTCGTTTTCTTTGCTTTTTTATTTGAGAATTTATGAAATCTGTATATATGAGCAGTATGAAAAGTATTAAGGTCCATTTGTCATTTTCCTCTTTCATCTCTGCTTTCTACAAACTTCCTTTTCTGTCACTACAGCTTGTTTAGTTGGAAATTTGTTAAGACAAATGTTGTTATGTTATCAATACATCTTTGTACCTATTTTTTACTGATGATGAATATTAATTTTTTAAGTAAATTTTATTATAACTATATTTAATCATTAATATCATTTAGTATCTGGTACATATTACAAATTCTCCAACTCCCTCAAAGATGATATTTGTTTTTTCTCAAAGTATACAAATCACCAACATTCCACACATCACTGCACTGTTTTATTATACCTAAGTATATACTGTATTGTAGAAAATATGCACTGTGTATATGTGTAGGGGGGTATGTTTTTACATATATGTGTGCACTATTAAATGAGAAACATGGGCATGAATGTGGTAGGATTGTGCACATTTGGCATATTGATAGTTTCTCTGGCAACCTTATGATTTCTTTAAATTACATGCTAGACTCAATTCATAGTCATTCATTTGGGAAGAATATTACATATCTATTGGTGTTAAATTCTATCATTATGCTTATAAAAATATAAAAATAAGTATGGGATATAATAAAATAGAAACAGAAAAATCTGATCTTAAAAATGTGAATTTTTTTTAGTTGCTTTTGGATTTCAAATATAAGTATATTTTTTTCTGTGGGAAGTTTTGTTAGAAAATGTAAGTGGTACAACCAACAAGTGTATGATATTTATCAATTAATAAAACCAAGAAGTTTATAAATCATAAAATTTTGAGGACAGTTTCTCAACTATAATATGTAACTTTGTTTTATTTATAATTACATTATTTCAAAAATATTATAAGAAAATGAGAAAGAACATAATGTTTGAAGATCATATCAAACTAATGTATTTCGATTAGCCTGTGTTACATAAATTCTTGTTTATTTCATATCCTTTTTTGCTGTCATATATATGTATATTTGAAATTTTTATTTAGTATCTTCACTTCTTGTTATCATGTATGTTTGCAATCTTTAATAAAAAAAAACTCTTAGCTTTTCCAAGAAGACTTTAATTAAAATTTTTGAAATCCGGTGGATATTAACATTAAAGATAATGCACAACTAGGACACAAGTTTTGCATTCAAAACTCAAATAGTTAATTCATAATTAACTTATCATGTAATATTAAGAACTTGTATATGTCAGGCACTATTCTGGTTGCAAGAGACACAGTAGGAAGCAGGAAGGGAGAGAGAGTGGAGGGAGGAGAGAGAGAAGTTCTACTTCGTGTACACAACACAAAGTCTGATGGCCAGAGGCCGGCGGGGGGTTTGGGGAGCACCTGAGTCTTCAGCTGAAAAGCCTTTGTGGTCTCTGTCCATGGTGTCTTGTCCTGGAAACTAGTAAAGACAAAGTTTAGGACCTGAAGACAAACATCCAGTGATAAAATATATTACCTAGGAGAGAAGGAAGAAAAGAATAATATTCTTGGAGCTCTGGAATGTGTCTACTATAATAGATTGGATCTTTGTTACCCAACCATTCAAAAGCTAGTTCCAAAGGCTGAAACAACACACAAGCAACCTTACCAGATATAAGCCATATTCTCCAGTACTGATGGAATACAGTAATGTTAACTTAATCTGCCATCTCCTTTCCTTTATTTCCTTATTAGTTCACACCGTGGGTGGGAATGAAGATATGCTTGTATCTGGCGCTTTCAGACTCCAATCATCTCAACACCCTCCCCTAGGATACCTGGTACCACAATTTTTTTTTAAATCTCAGCAGGAGGAGTTACATGCACGTGTGTCTCCAAGTCGCCTTGCAACATATAACAGATTGGCCAATTCAGTGCTCTGCTGGTTTCACTATGCAAAGGTTGGTTTTGTTTGTTGTTTTCGGTCTTATTTTAAAGTTTTATTTTGTAGTTAGCAACAATAGAAAGAGATACATCAGGACTCAAAACAGGGAGGAGATCCCAAAATAACTGAATTTTCCTTTACTTGTTTGGCTGCGGAGGTTAGACCATTCCAACTCTAACCAAAGCCTACTCTACATCCTAGCTCCAGTTACAGTGGCTGTAAAAGGGCTTCACTTCATCCAAGGAATCTTGCTGGAGGCCACGCACAGCTTCTTCAAGCCTGAGCATCCTTTCCTTCTGCTGCTGACAGTGCCACTCAACTACAGACTGAGCATCCACTTGGTCCAGAGCATCTCTAAGTAGGAGCCCTCATGACCTCAGTTATGTCAGCAGATTCTAGAACCATCACCTTGAGTCTGGCCTTGCAAATGTGAGGGATTCAAGATTTGTGTGGGCCAAATACAGCTTCCAACAGTCACATCTGGGTCTGGAACACCTCTGGATCTTTCAGGTCTCACCACCCAGAGGTTTTAAGAATGAATTTGGATTATTCCACTATGAAGGAAACCATCCTTGGTCAGACCACCTGCTGTGCAGCAAGCTTGCCTACCACGAAGGGCACTGTTGCTAAAGGCATTTGCCTAAAAGAAGTGAAGAATTAGGAAAACCCTTAAGGAAGGCTGAGCCCTGGATAGAGCTGTTTAGGAGGGACAATAACCTTGAACAGGGGCTGGGGTCAAGGTAGAGAACAGGGGTTGGGGCTGCAATGCAGGAACAAAATTCTATGGATGTAGTTAAACGCTTACTTACAGATTGCCCAGGAACACTTTTTTCATCCTTCCTAGCCATATGACTGTTCCCTGGAACCAGGATCCAAGAATACTAAGGAAGTGTGAGCAAGAAGCTGCCATGTTCCCCCACCTTCATGCTCAGGTATGGGTAACTTGGAGGGAAGGCATTTGGGAGCTTCTGGCAAGCTGCCTGGAATGACTCCCTATATGTCCAGGAATAAGGGCCAGGGATTTAGCTCAGTGGCACTGCACCTGCCTCAAAAGCGCAAGGTCCTAAGTTCAATCCCAGTACCAAAAAAAAAAAAAAAAAAAAAAAAAAGT